CCAGTCAGCGACTGGGGTGGAGAGGGGTGTCCCCATGGCCGATCTCACCGACTGGGGGGTGCCCCTGTGGCCAGCTGGGAAGCGGCCGTGACACTCCCAAAAGTCCCACACACACTCCCCAGCCAGCACTTGTGGCAGGCGGGGGGGGCACTGGTGCTCCCGCCTGCCCCCCTGCCTGTCAGGGGGTGCAGTGGCACTCTCAAGGGATGCACATGCACCCCCAACGCATCGCCACTGGCAGAAAAAGAAGCAATGATTCTGATATAACAGAAAGCAGTAGCTAGAGTTAGACCCAGATACATTCAAATAAGAAAGAAGGCAAAAAATAAAAATACAGTAAGGGTAAGGGTGATTAACTCTTGGAACAAACCTTCTAGAGCAGTGATCGATTCTCCATCTCTTACAGTCTTCAAATGAAGGTTGGTTGATATGCTTTAATCAAATGTAAGTTGTATGGCTCAGTACAGGGATCACTAGGTGAGATTTTATTGCAATATTATATATTAGGACAGACTAGATACACTGGAATTTCCTTATGGCCTTAAAAAGTTATGAATCTGTGAATTACATCCAGAGGCATAATGAGCTCATTTAGTTCCTGGGACAGGGGAGGGGGTATACCAAACACTGTAGATGGTGTTGGAGAGGGCCCGCCTAGTGCTGGTGACTCCATACCACCGACACAGCTGGCTTCACATCTGGCCACTCGCCACCCCTCCCCCCCACTGCTGCCTGCTTCTTTGCATTTGAGCCCTGCGCAGGCTGATTTGCCCTGGGCCCCATACCCTGCTAGGGTCATCTCTGCAAAGACTCCTGGGAGTGATTCTGGCACCCCTCATAGTCAGTACCTGGGGCTCATGTCCTGCTCACCTCCTATTTACACTACTGCCTACAGTCTCCTAGAAAGGTGGTTAAGACTGAGCAAATATTGATGTTAAGTAATGTTTCTTTGGCTTCCTTTAAAATCAGCTTTATTTTTAAGCAGCAACTGCAACTCATCTCAGACAATTGCCAGTAGGGTATACTTTATAATTTATTTTTCTAGGTTATTGTATTTAACACATGATTCTGTTTGTTTTTGCTGCCTGCGTATTTACTTCTGTGCAAGGCAAACCCATTTTACGAACTAAACAAATTGACAGCATCCCTTTAAAAGCCATTATGCTGGTCCAAAACCATTGCATATGAAGAAAAACATCTACTCAAAAAGTACATCTTTTATTGATTTGCTTACATTGAATTAATAAAATAAGAACATTAATAATAATGCACATTACCTTTTTGCTTTCTAATAATAAACAATACCTCCCAGCAGTTTAATAAGAAAATCCTGTAAATGCAACACTATATATCAAACTGACAAAAATCCACATACACATGTTTAAAGAAGTCTCTAAATGAATTAAGTATATACCTCATCTAGTCCATCTTTAAATACTTTAAGGAATACATATAAATATTACTGATTCTATCCAGACTAAATTTTCACATAAAGTACAAGAATTAACTTAATATAAAATTCCCGAAGAGTGGAGTATACAACACTATAAAAATGCAGAAGAAAAGTTCTGGTATTCACTCAGTTTCTAAGGAGTCTTAAATGGAAGGTTATGGTGGTCACTATTATCTTTAAAGTGCTACAAATAATGTACGACATTCTTGTAAGTATTGTGATCAAGAAGTAACGTGCAATGCTCTCCTGAAACTGAGCCTGAGCACAGCAGGTTAACTGAGGAAGTCTAGAAAGAAAACTGTTTACTTCTGCAAAAAATATTTCACTACATAGAAAAGAAAAAATGACTTGAGAAAACTTTGTTTTGAATTGTCACATAATGCAAATCTTCTTGCTGAGAGGGAAACAGAGCCTGAAACTAAAATGACTTTAAAAAAAAAAAAATTACAGTTTAAACGGTATGCCTTTTTTGCCTGGAAAAAAAGCATGAGATTTCCCTCTCGTTTCATTGTTCTCTGTCACAGTAGCACACACAAGGGCTTATTCTAGTCCATCTGAAGCAGGAAGAATTTTTTTTCATTGATCTGGACAAGAACAAAATCAGGCCTAATATAGGAACTGCTCCATAAAAATGGAAGTAGTTTGCATTACAATTTTACTTTTTTAATTTATTGTATCACTCTTTAATGCAGAAAACATACAGCTGCATGCTTCAAACAAAACTGGTGTCTAGAAAGTGATCTTTATTGGTGAGATTTAATCCATCCCTCTGAACTTCAGCCACTGCTACTATGGGGCGTGTCCCCACAAGTGGGAACGTGTTTCCCCAGGAACAAACAGTAGCGGCACAATATGTGCCACTGCTACTTGTCCCCAGGAAACACCTGTACATGGGTGCTCTGGCATGTAGCACATTGCCCCAGGTGGGGTAGGGGAGGCTGGGGCCAGTATCTGGGCTGATCCCAGCAGCCTTACCTTGGGGTCCCGGGGGCCTCCAGAGGCCACAGCTGCGACAATCCTGAAGCAGGAAGCATGGCCGTCAGCCAAGTTCCAGTTTGGGCAGTGCACGCTGCTGCCACATATACCACCCTGGTTTTTTTAGGTGTGGGTTTTTTGACAGCGCTCATGCATGCTTGTCTGGATGCCTCCATGGAGTTGGACTGTGGGTTTTTACCCACAACTCTCAGTCCATGTAGCAATGCACCTCCATAGCAATGCACCTGAGAGTTCTGGAGCAACTCTTCCAGAGATCCCAGGAGCATTCTCTCTGCTCATTTTGGGGTGGGCTGTATTCTTAGAGGCACAGACAGTATCATGGTACTAGAGCTGCCTTTGTCTCTGATCCATTTATAATAAGAAACCTTCTTATATTCTCTTTCTTACCCACACACTCATGCTACTGCCAAGGAAATCCTGGTACTTGAAACACAGGAAAACTGCTGTGCCTCATAAATAATTTTTTCACAGGGCAAAATTCCATGCTACAAAGTTAGATCCCAAAGTTACTTAGCATATTGCCCTTATTAGGTCTGTGCATGAAAGATCAGGTTTTCTATCCCTATAAATGCAATTATATGCTGCACACACATTCTTCTGGATGTTATACAGTGAAGACCTTTTTCATTTTTTAAAATATCCAATCAAACCAAAAGGAAGCTCCCTAACTTAACTGGGTGTGTGAGGCTTGCAAGTATTTAAATAAAATTGGTTGATGCTTTGGAGACAGCCTAGAAACTTCAATTAATTCCTTCCTAGGCATGAACAAAAAGAAAGATTGTTCCAGGTTACTAAAGGGTGAGTATGGAACACAAAGTATTCTAGGGCATGCAGCAGGAAGGAGAAAACCTTGGAAAAGGAAAAAAAATCCTTATCTTTGATCTAAGGTTCAATGGATTATGTCCAGCAACCATCTGTTACTTATAAAGGATGACCCATGTTATAAATTAATGTGATTTGTTTTGTGCACTAGCACTCTGGTATTCCCAGACATTTTCTTAGTTCAGCTGCCCTTTTTTCCATCTGTTGAATATTCCAGTGCCACTGTCTTTTATTCGATTGGAGTTTGTTCAGTTGACAATGCAAACGTTTTAGAATAGCATCACATCTTTTATTCTGTACCTAATAAAACAGGGAAAAATCATTTGAAAGCTGTTAGCAGGCAAATCAATACGAAACACAAAGAATGAGACTAGTGTAGTTGGCTGGGATCTGCTGTAGGGAA